CACTTTTTTGTTGTTATGGTCAAGTGTGTGTCTCTTAATCTTTCTTCTTTTTGCAGGGAATCGAGAAATTGAAGAAAGAAGAGAACTCTTCGAAATTGCGTCCTTTTCAACTCGATGTCACCAAGGACGAGTCTGTTCAACAAGCCGTCAAATTTGTGGACTCAAATTTGAAGAATGGAGAGTGTCAGTGATTATTTGCAAATATTGGGAAACTCATCAAGCTAATTGTAAAGCTTTTGTATCTACAAAAACAGCTTCCAGATTTGTGGGGTCTTGTGCAAAACGCGGGCGTCTTTACCATTCATGGTCCCGATGATTTCATGAACGCTCAGCACTATCAATACTCGTTTGATGTGAACTGTTTGGGATGCATCCGAGTTACACAAGTACGAGATGGGAAATGAATAAAATTATCTCTAATTTTAGGCCTTCAAGAAGCACATCAAGAAATGCCAAGGACGAATCATTGCAACATCATCCGTGTCGGGAAGAGTCGCTTTCCCGGGAACTGGAGCTTATGCTGTGGGCAAATATGGTGTTGAAGCCTACATTGATGCTTTGAGGCAAGTAAAAGCTATTGGAATAGGAATTCCAATTTTTCCAAGCTAGACTGGAAGCTAAACTTAAAAGCTTGTTAGCTTTTTGCTGGCCTGGCTCTACTTACATACCCTAAGTAGTTAGTACCAATTGCAGAGTGGCGCACAATTATGGAAACTCGGTTTTTCGACTGTAACTCAAGGCCTAATCATTCAAATTTCCTAATTTCATATTTACCGTATTTACTCTATTAGTGGGGTCCTCTCTAATATTGGTAACGAAAGTGATACATCAATTGTTGATCTCTTGGATTAGTTCTTTTACTGTTTGTTAATGTTTTGTTACGGTTAAAGCTAAATAAAATATGAAGCCAAACTTGTTTTGTCAAGAATTTCGGAGAAAAATTGATATCTTTTCAATTTAAAACTTTGGTTTTATGTTCTTTTAAATTTCTCTAATAGTGGGGTCGTCTGGAAGGGGATTGAAAAAATAGTGGGGGACCCCACTAATAGAGTAAATACGGTATATGAGATTTCAAGTTAATTTCTGCCGTCAATTTCAATTTTTAGTCCAGAAACACAGTGTTACGCTTTTTATAGTACTTCGAAGTTCAGAGATGCCAACCTCTCGGCAAAATCGCTGTTTGGCAGCATTTGCACAGATTTTGAGGAATTTCCCGCTTCATATTTACTCATTTTCGCTTTTTATTAAGTAATAGAATCATCTGGAGCATTTCACATCAAAAGATTTTCAATAATCTCAAATTATTGAGAGCCAATAGTTCCCAGAATTCCCTGAAAGCTGAGCAGAGCAGCGATCTGTATGGTAGCAAAGCAGCGATTTTTTTTTCCATTCCAAATCATTTCTGATTTGCTCTCTTGCAAAGTGAATGCATTTATTTTGTGATATTTGGCTAAAGTTAACTAAGAAGTGAAAAAAACTAAAAGAATTGGTTGATTTTGTGGGCAATTCTTGAGAGTTGAAAACTCGAAAACGATAATTCTGCGGAGGTTGGCACCTCTGAACTTCGAAGTATTGTAAAAAGCGTAACACTGTATTGCTGAACTAAAAATTTAATTTGAGAGCAGAAATTAACTTGAAATTTCATATAAATATTTTCTATTATATTTCATCTAATAGAAATTTGGGGAATTGAATAATTGGGCGTCGTGTTAAAGTCGAAAAACCGCGTTTCCATAATTGTGTAAACTCTGTATGAGTAGACATTATGTAAAGTTTCCAGGAATCCTACAGTACTCCCTAAGTATCCAAATCGATTAAAGCCTCAATAATTAAACAAAAAAATGGTTTAATTTTTTAGATTTCACAATTTATCTTAAAAGAGCTCCAAATTTAGACAAGAATTGTACCCATGGGGAGTCAAGTGCTCAATTCTTGAGCCCGGAGCTTTCAAGACTCCATTGTTGGACCATCAAATGCATAAAAATCGAGTGAACAAGGTAAATAAATCTTTAAAAAGCAAATAAATGCAAGTTTTGATTATCTTTCAAAATTCTTGACAACATTGGTAGCTGTAAGGAAATATTTAGGCGTGGTCACAAGTTGACGATGAAACAAAAGCCGAGTACGGAGAGAAGTACAAGGATTTCAGTGAGTTTCTGAATTTGTATTGTTCAGTAGATTGCAAATTATAGCTTTAAGCGAGTAAAATCAAAATTACAGTAATCGAGAGCTGGAACAAGGCTCTCGACACGATGGCCTCGTCGAATCTCGCCTATGTCACCGATGCCTATTTCCACGCGATCACCGCTCAATATCCACGAAAAAGGTTTCAATTTTGAATTTTTAAATTCAAACAGTTGAAAGGTATCGAAAGAGGCAAATCCGAGAACTTTCAGATACCGCTGTGGATGGGACTCGATCTTCTTCTACATTCCAATCTCATTGGTGCCCACCGAACTCCAAGATTGGATCTTCCGCGCACTCATCTCCAAGGAAAACAAAGGAAATGTTGAGCCGGCTGTTTTTGCGAAGAAGAAAACGAATTAGGGCAGTTATAGTGAAATAAATTTAATTTTTATTTGCACATTTCACATGTTCACAATTTGAGTGTTCCCTTGGAATGAGTGTCGTGATGCAGTAAAAGATTACCGTCGATGAATTACCACGGAAACGGATGGGAAACGGATTTGGGACACCGGCTCGGAAATCGCTCAAGTACTAAAAAATGAGTTTGATGAGAAATTATGGGGTTGAGTACTAAGTCTTGCAAAAAACCCAAATTCATTTTCTAATTGAATAAGTCTCAAGTTACCAAATAAGATACGCTTTCTTTCATTAGATAGCCATTTCTCTTGCAAATGACTTTTGAACGCTTCTGAAAAGCCTTGTTTTGAAGGTTTTTCATCAGCAAGAAGCCGAGTGTTCAACAACGAGAAGGTCTGATGATGCGATTTGGACCGTTTCTTTCAATGAAACCTATTTTAATGAAAAAATAAAAAAGATAGCACACAAAAAGTTAGGTCTACAGCCAAAATTTCAGAATAATCCGTTTAGCGGTTTTCTTTATGTGCTTATTTTTCAATATTTTTAAAAATACCAGTTTTCGTTCTCGCAGATTATTCTAAAATATTACCTTAATACCTGTAATAGTAGCCCCCCCCATACGTTCAGCCGCGTAGTCGCTAAAGTAAATCATTTTTTTAATGCATCCAGATTTTTCTAAAATAAACTGTTACTACCAAAAAATTCTTCGCTTCAAGCGCTATCTTTTGATATCTAAGCGCACACTTTTCGCCGAAGCAGGGGAGAGAACTGAGCGTCACAAAATTGTGTGTTAGACTACGCGACTGTACGGGGGGGCTCTACTATCACAGGTATTACGTTAAAAATTGTTTAAAAATGGCAAAAAGTAGATGATAAACATTTATAATGAAAGGAACCGTTTGGCATTTGGTAGTTTGAGACTCGTTCATTTAGATAATGAAATCAAGGGTGCAAGACTTCGTATTCAACCTAATAATTCACTAACAACCTCCTTGCTAGAGTGTGTACATCTCAAGTAAGTAATTACTTGTGTAAATTTCTCCAATAATGTTTTTACTGAGTAAGCGTCAAGTCAAACCTCAAGTAATGCCCATTCTAAAACGCACTTTTCATTTATTTTTTTAAAAAAATTTAAAAAAATAAAGGAGCTAATCATTTATTTTTTTAAACATTTTGTTGCTGAGTTTTCAGCTGGTTTCAGTGATTAAAAGCATTTATTTTGCTTTTAATAAATGTTTGCAAGCAGTCTTTATCAAATTATACGTAAATTTATCACAGAGTTCTTTCTTAAAAGTGCTGACTCTGACCGGATTCGAACCTGCAACCTAACGGTCACTCGTTTTAGAAGCAAACGCGTAACCCACTCGACCATTCACAAAATTACGATAACTTTTTTCCTTGGTCCGCGCGTTAGAAAACGCTTTACTCAAGATGTACACACTTTATTCCGTACTCTTGCTAAATTGTATAATTTTAGTTAGAGAGCCATCTGAATTCAAAATAGATACTGGATATTCAAGATTTTTCATATTATTTACCTCAACATCCCCAAAGAGACTTGATTCAAGTGAGCATCCATTGTGATCAATGATTGCATATTGACGAGATCGATCCTCGTCTCCACTCACTGTACAATTGGTTACTTGTAGACAGAAGCCCTTCGCCGGTTTGCATTTGATATCGTAGTAGAGTGAGGTGTCAAGGTTTGTACCTGTATCGGAAGTCTTTTCATATTCAAAATATTCAAGGCTCAATAAAACTTTGCTCACGTACATTTCGGCCACACAACTCACCCGCCAAAATCCTCCCGTCTGGCCCATCTTCTCTGACAAAGAAATCGCATCTCGCTTCAGGAAATCTAGCAATTTTCGCTGAAAATCCTTCAGGAATTCGTTGTCCAAAATTCGTCACAAAAATACAAATAAATAGCAACAAGAACATGAGAATTTCGATTGAATCGATGAATAGCGACTAGACAAAAGAAAGCATGGTTAGCTGGAGCCTGTTTGAGTCACTTTTGCTTTCATTCCATCCAGACTCTCTTTGATTGTTCTTTTTTTGCATGTATGTTTGTTTCATAACAACAGTGCTTCACTCAACAATTTGTAAATAGACTTTATTTTCAATTTTTTTTCTACTACCATATACTCACTGTGAAATGTATAAAGAAAGACAAAAAAATTTCTCAAGTTTAGTTCTCAAATCGATGCACACTCATAAATTAAGCTCTAACTACGTTGAACAAATTGAATCAGATTAATGGAAATAGTTAATTTAGACAGGAAAGGATATAAAGTTAAAAATAAATTAGTCACTAGTCAACGAGGAGTAAGAAGAGAGATAAAAGAATCACAGAATATGCACGGGAATAGAGCGGATTTGAAAGATTTTCGGAATCTAATACAAAATTGAAATGACAATACACGTTAAAAATGTTTTCTACCAACAAAGATTTAGAGCGATGGTTGTCCGGCTGCCTCGAATGCACTCCAAGCGTCGTTTAATTCGGTGAAGATGGCCCGGGCAAGCTCTTCATGGGGTTGTCCTAGAAAATGGCAATGCTGTACGATATTTACTTCTAAAATTTACAGGAAACATTGTTAGCTTATTGTTATTTTTCTGCCTGATTTGACTCTCAAATTCTATTTAATTATCTCATTTTTAAGGCTTTTAGCTTACTAAGAACTAATATGTCAGAATTAGTTTCATCCGAAGATAAATCTCACCAGTCTGTTTGTCCGGATGCACGACGAGGCAAGCTTTGCGATAACTCTTTTTCACCTAAAATTTGTTTTTTATGCAACATGCTAAATTAAAATCGTTTCATATCCAGACAGAAACGTTTCCTCAAAGTCAAAGCCGTATTTACTAACGTGCCCCAACAGATTTCTTTTGCGTTCAAAAAATTTTACCTCATTTGCTGTCAATAGTGAAGCCATTGATGTTTGTTCCCATTTAGCGGCACCATCCCAAAGCACTTCATTGAGACTACCGAGTAGAGCACGAATGTTTCGCTCTTTTCCCGATGTCCAATCTCGAATCTAAAATAAAAGCACTTTTTGAAATATATCAAACACACTCTGACTATGAGATCTATTAAAGCCTAGAGATTTATATGTTAAAACAATTCTCGAGTCACCATAAGAAATCTTTGAAGTAAAAGTTATTGCCGTCTAATTTACCTTAATTGAGACCGGATCCATTCCTCTGACGTCTTCTTCTCGTCTCATGTCCGCCATTGTCCGATTTCTGTTCGCATTGGACGAGGTGAAATTGTGGGCGGACAGAAGATCTTCAAAAGCATTCACGCCAGGTTTCTTCGATTGACCACTCATATTCTAAAAAAGTAATAAAACCTCTTAAGTCAATTGCTCAACAAACCTCAAACAAAGAACGATTGTAGTTTGGGCGAGCTTGTGCGGGAGTACTTCTTCCAGAGTTGGCACCAGAAGCTAAAGTAAAAATTATAAATGAAAGTGGCAAACAGCTAATAGTTAGTAATTAAAAATTTTTCTATTCAATAAATATCGGTTGTTTAAAAGCTTACCACTTCTCTTCTATTCAAATTTTTTTTTCTTGTGAAGCAGACCTGGTTTGCTAGCAGGATCACTCGTTGTGGCTAAGAAATCGGCAAATGGATCAAAAGAAGCGGCGGCTGGCTGTTGCTGTTGTTGAAAGACGGGAGCCGATGCATTACGATGCATTCCAGTTGTTGATGATGGAGCTAAAGAGAAAAAGAACTATAGAAAGAACGTGCCTTAACAGTTTTACACTTTCGCCTCTTAAAAATGAAATTTCAAAACACTAAATGCTATAAGCGATACTCCTAACGAGTATAACAGCTTAAAACTTAAAGAACCTTGGGGTTTTTTCCAGTAAAAAGTTTTGAAAGTGCAGCAATAAAAATCTAAAAGGTTATTCGCACTCAATAGTGAAAAGAGACACCAATTTAGAACTTGTTGGCTTGAAGTTGGACGTGATATTCCTACGGTATTTTACTCTTCGTTCTTTATTTAAAATCTTTGTATCACTTTCAACTTTTTGTGACGTTAACTTCTATTACAATTACTAAAATTTTATCTGCTTACTATTAGAGCCTACTGAAAAGTACAAGCAACGCTACTCAATTTAAGATTTTACTGAATTTCGTTACCCAATGGTGTGTCCCAATTTAGCAGATCCGATTGAGGCGCCGGTGATCGAGCGGAGCTGCTATGAGTCGGTGTCGATTGCTTTTGATCTAAAAAACCAAATCAACTGGGTTTCACCTTGATATTAAAGTTTTTTTCAACAAACCTGTAAGAAGCTCGGCAAATGGATCAAACGGTGCACTCGATGAGATAGTTTGGCTTGAAGACTTAGAAGCAGTAGGGAAATTGTCTAAAAGTAGATTTAGAAAATAGTTTCATATTAGAATGGCTACCTTCACTTCCCAAAAGATCAAAAACATCTGGTTGGGTTGATGGAATGTTGGTGGATCGGTTGTCAAAGATCGGCGTCTCATCCTCCTGTTCAACTTCCTAAAAGCAATAACATTAATCGATAAACCGAATAATCTTATAGAAAGAACGTTCCTTAATAGTTTAACACTTTTGCCTATTCAAAATGAAATTTCAAAACACTAAATGCTATAAGTGATACTCATAACGAGTATAACAGCTTGAAACTTAAAGAACCTTAACATTTTTACAGCAAAAGTTTTTGAAAGTGAAGTAATCAAAATTTAAAAGGTTGTTCGCACTCACTAGTGAAAAGAAACACCAGTTTGGAACTAACAAATCATCAAATCTAATTCCATCTACCTTAACATAATAATAAAATTATTCATGAGTAGTAGCTTTTGGCACTTTGATGGCACAATAATATTATCAAAAACCAGGTCCCTTTTCAAATATAGGTTGAAACTAACCGCTCCCACTCGAATCCCGGCCATTCGCTCGTACATCTCGGCCTCATCAAACTTCTCATTCTTCGGCATTTGCTGTGGTCTTGTGGTGATCGTTGACAATGGCTCCGTTCTCGGTGTCGGTGAAACGGACGGCGCTGGAGCGCCAGAAAATAGCGAACTAAAGCAACAAATTAAAAACACAGCAAATTTAACGTCTTACAATGTTATAAATTTAACGATTTGTCTAGCTATACTTCTCCAAAAGTCGAAAAATTGCAAAAACAAACTGAAAGAAGATCTCCATTTCAAGAAAATGTCCCATCTCAAGAATTTGTAAAAGTTGGCAAAAGAGAAAGAGCTTTTCAAAAAAAATGCGCGAGTGTTAATTTCAAAACTACGTGTCACTCCAACTTACGAATAGTCAGTCTCGTAAAGGCTAAACGCTAATTTGAATTAAATGTAAACTTAATTTTGGTTCAATTTAATTCAATTCAATTTTTCTTTCAAAACTGAAACTTTTTGTTTTAAAGATTTCAACCACAATTTATCAAACCATCTTGAAGATGGTATTTTGACGTTTTTGGATACTTTGAACTAATACAGATACAAAGTTATATATAAAGTTCAAAGTTCGATAAGTTTGAAGTTATCTCAACTTACAGTTGACTTATTACTCACCTAAAGAAAGCTGGATGCTGATCTTGTTTGGGTTGTTTCTGTTCTTTTGCTTGAGCTGATGCTGGAGCTGGTGGTCTCGATGGAGTGGCTTTGTTTTTGAAAGAGGTATGACCGGGCAATGAAGGGAAATCGGGGAGCTCGGTTGGCGAGGCGGCATCAAGGAGACGAAGAGCTTCTCCTATAATTGGTTGTTTGATAAATTGTGTTGTGATAGAGTGGTCCTTTAAATCAAGTTCTAGTAGATTACTCCCAAAAGATTTCTTAGGCTCGTATCAAGTGCAGTTATAGTAGTCACACATTGTTCCAATTAAACTCACCATATTCGTGACTATCGCTAAACATATTCGCCGATCGAGAGCAATTCTCTTCATCATAGCGGAAAGAATCGGGTAGACCTCCAAGCGAACCGTTACCGTATTGAATGTTCAGAGAAGCCCTAAAATTTATAAAAATATCATTACTTTTACGAACAATACTTTTACAGTTGCTTATTATTATCATTTCCATCACTTACTTGAATCCACTGTCCATTTTCTGATCCGCATCTTTGTCAACATCTAGCTGATGTTTGGGGAAAACTAGGCTAGTTGTTTGGCCGTCCAAGAAACGGGGATTGAAATTGAAAGTGAAGATGGGCACCTGAAGTATTAGGCGTTTTATGGCTCACTACAGTTTCTCAAAAAAGTCGATCGACGAGACTAGTCTAATTGAACCACACGATAGATATTCAAGCTTAACAGCTGAATACTTTTAAATCATGTAATAGACTGTATACTAGACGTTTTCCGTTCTTTAATTCAAAACCAACCAAGCTCATGCTTCCATGCAATGAAGAGTGCCTAGCATGGCTGACAATCACCGTCACTTCATCGTTGATCGCCGTGTTTCCCAACTCGAGCCTCGCATAACCCAGCTCTTTTTGGAATTCTCTGAAAATAAAAGTTTTTAGTTTACAAACTTTTACAAACGTTGTTTCATCGTATCTCTGCGCAGTGGCAAAGACTTTCGTGTCACCGACAAAGACTTCAACAAGTGGACGACATCCGGTACCCGATCGATTGATTGCCGGAATTGGAGCAATCGACAGAGACGTCAATTCAATCGTCTTGTTGTGGATTTTCTGGAATTTTAATTGTTAAATTTATAATAGCTTTGGCAAAATCTCAAGATTGACTATTTATCAAACCTACCGATGCAATGTCTTTAATCTCTCGATAGGCAAGCATTACGACAGCGTCGAGCAAGTTGTGGTAAGATGGGGGCAATTCGGGCATCACCTGATCAGCACGGCTCTTGTTGATGATCTGAAATGAAATGTTGATGATGGATTTACTATCAATTTTCAATAATTAAATTTTTAAATTGTCAATACTATTCCAAAAAATTACCTCAAAGCATTGATACGGTCGAATGCAGAGTTTGAAGTAAAGCAAGAGCGCAGCAGCCATCAAAATGCAGTTTTCTGAAAATATAGAATTGAAATAGATTTTAGGATGTACTATGAAAAAAATAGATGTGCTTTGCAATACCATTGCCTACCTTCAACTCCATACAAAACAATCATCCCATTTTTATCGTGCGACAAGTAGCGGCCAGCAGTCTTTGCCACGCGAATAGCCGCATCCAACGATGGAGGCACAGAAGTACACGGAGAGTTCATCGGTTCGGAATGTGGGCGTAGAGAGTACTCACAACGGAGATCCCTGAAAGACATTAACTTTATTTCCTAAAAGCAAAGTTTTTAGGTTCGCCGCTTGTGAATCTTGAGCTTATTTAGCTCTTGCCTAGTTCCCGGGTATTTTGAACGGGTTGTCACGCTTTAAAGACAGATAACTTGGTCCAGAGATAATATTTTTGTTAACTTTTTATGTCATTCTACAGAGGACATTTCAGTTTTTCAAATGATACCAAATAGTGCTTGACTAGATCTTTCATTCCCATGCGAACCAGGCGACACAACACCCAAGTTGGATAGGCCTCATTGCTCAAAATTAGCTTCGATTTTCTTGGACTAGATTATCCAATCAAGCTCTATTTGGTATCATTTGAAAGCCTGAAATGTCCTTTCTTCAATGGTATAAAAAGTTAAGAAAAATATTATCTCTAGACCAAGTTATATGCCTTTAAAGCGTGATGACCCGTTCAAAGTACCCGGGAACTACGAAAAGCCGCTTATTTGAACTAAACCGAAATTGCAATTCTTACCGAAGCTTAGCCAATTTTAGTGCTTGAACTATTTACACTCACCTGGTACTCAAATTGATCACCAAGTAAGGCCGTCTAGCCATTGCAAGATGTGACTTCAAGGCTTCTTCCGCCTGATGAGCTAAAACATCGGGCACTCCCTCTAAAATCGGCGCCAACAAAAGCCGTGAAGTAATTTGGGTGATCGTGGGACCCTTGCTTCCGTAAGTGCTCTACAAATTTTGGATAAAATAGAAATTAAAATATCAAAGCTACAAACCTGAACAGTCGACACGACAGCCGCTGTCTTTTCCTTGAAGTTCTTCAGCAATGAAAGTCCGCCACCCTTCAACGCTCCAAACATCGCAGCCGCTGTTTCCTAAAGTATCAAGATTAAATCTGTTATTAGACTGAGTTTAGCTTATTTCCTAAAAAAACTTATAAAGCGGTATCGCTAACTTTTTTTGGTGCACAGCGCGTCAAAAGAAACATAGTTTCTTATGTCAAACTTTGTTATTAGTTTAAGTACTTCAAACTGATCAACTCTTTTTCCTTGTTTACCTCGGGTGCCTTACTGGCAGACGCAGCTGGTGGTGGACGAGGGGGAGCTTGTGTTGCCTTTTGAGGAGCCGATTGAGATGATTGTGGTGGTGGAGGCTTTGTTGGTTGTGCGTGTGATGAAACAATCGATTGAACGGCCTGTAATCAATTGCATAGTGATTATTTTGTAACTGTAGCTGGCTCTACGTACTTGTCTTGGCTAATATGTTAGGCTGGGTACTAAGTCTTGCACCCAAATTCATTTTCTAATTGAATAAGTCTCAAGCTACTAAATAAGATACGGCTTCTTTCATTAGATAGCCATTTCTCTTGCAAATGACCTTTGAACGCTTCTGAAAAGCCTTGTTTTGAAGGTTTTTCATCAGCAAGAAGCCGAGTGTTCAACAACGAGAAGGTCTGATGATGCGATTTGGACCGTTTCTTTCAATGAAACCTGTTTCAATCACAAAATAGAAAAGATAGCGCACAAAAAGTTAGGTCTACAGCCAAAATTTCAGAATAATCCGTTTAGCTGTTTTCTTTATGTGCTTATTTTTTAAAAGTACCAATTTTCGTTCTCGTGGATTATTCTAAAATACTAAAAATCGTTTTAAAATGACAAAAAGTAAACGATAAATATTTATAATGAAAGAAACCGTTTAGTTTGTTTATAGTTTGTTTGTTTGAGGTAGTTTGAGACTCGTTCATTTAGATAATGAAATGAAGGGGTAAAGACATAGTACTCCATCCAATACTTATGATAACAACAAAAACAAACCACAGATGCGGGTCCTCCCATCAAATTCTTCGTGTCAACTCCCTTGATCGGTCCATCGGGGTCGATTCCGTAAGCTGCTGCGAGTGCCTCGATCATCGACACCAGTTCGTTGGCAGAGGGACGATTATTTGGATCCAACTTCAAGCAAGTCACTAAATAGAAATAAATAAAATAAATAATATTAAATGCATAATACCAATAATATAATAAATAAAATAAAAATAAATAATAAATTAATAAATACACTCTGTAAAAATGGAATCACGCGTTTTATGTAAATATTTTTGCTTCACCCGCTGCTTTTACCCCAAAACTTTTGTAAATATGTTACTTCGTTATAAGAATAATAGGAAAAAACAGAAATCCGTATTTTCATACGCCAAAAGTACATTTTCGTACAACACAAGATTTTCACATGTAAAAAAAACTAAAAATCAGTTTGTTTAACTTGAAAAAACACTTGGTACTTTATTTGATCAAATCTTTTTTGTTCACTTTTCTTTTTTAATTAACATTTACTATTTTTAGTTATGCTAACCGGACAAAAATTGAATATTGTCGAGGAAACAAAGGCCGATTTTCTTCACACGCTTGGAAAAGCTCAAAAGAAAATCGCGATGGAAAGAGAACGTTCCCAAAAGGCCACCAATACATATCTACGTTCCAAGACGACTTACAATGACAAACTTACAATGTTCCATAGTTTTTTTTACAGAGTGCAGGCTCTTATGAAAATTGCCAAAGTTTTATCTTACTGTTACTGTATCAAAGTAAAGTTTTAGCTTACAAATGACGTCTCGAAAGATGTCGTTGACGTGAAGGGATTGATCTTTGGGAGCAAGCATCTTTCCGTTGCAGATCCTGAGCTTCGACGAGTCCTCAAAGGGGTGAATCCGGTAAGCGAGATAGTAGAAAACACAGCCAAGAGCCTGAAAATTGAGAGAAGTTGGCATACTGTTCAATGTTTTCGTCAAGATTGACAATCTTGCCTCAATTCTAATCCTGACTTGGATTCTATCCTGTCTCACCACAGAATGTCAACATTAACTTGTCAAGATTGACTTGTCAAGATCTTGCCTCAATTCTAGAACTTGAAAAGTGTTCAGTTTTCCTCAAAAATATCTTTGGTTTACTTTGTAGTAAAAGATTAAATGTATTTTAAACAGTAATCTTTTTCAACTAACCCAAATATCGAGTGCCGGTCCGATTGGATGATCTTGATAGGTCTCGAGAATCTCCGGTGCTCTGTACATTGGAGTGGTGTGCTTGGCGTACTAAAAAAAATTCCATAAACTATAGTTCAAGCAAATTTATCGACTTTTTTGAAACTATTAGGCCACTTACACTTTCTTCAATCGCACTCCTCTGTGAAGATGTCCATTCGTGGCTCGGTTGGTGTTGCTCTCTCGTTGCACTCCCGAAATCGCACATCTTCACACGGCCTTGCGCATCAATTAGAAGATTTTCAAGCTAAAATTAGTCAATTAGAAGATTTTCAAGCTAAAATCGATTATTTGGAATAGGTTTTAGATAAGCTTAGTTCTAGATTGTGACATAAATTCACACATTGTAGCTAGGCTCAAATTTTGCGGCTCAGCTAGGATTGCTTAAGATCTTGCTGGGTTCAAAAGCTTGAACAAAACAAAAGCTCATTGATCGTTTTTACCTTAATGTCTCGATTCGTGATTGGTGGATTTTGCGCATGCATGTGAGCGACTCCTTTCACAGCCGAGTGGACGATTCGGATGATTTGTTCGTGGCTGAGATTTGTGCTCTGAAGAAGATCGACAACGGATCCACCTGAAAAAGAAAATTGTTTTGTTCAATGTCATAGATAGACAGTTAATCTTTCTTACTTACCAGAGCAAAGTTCGGTGACAAGTGTGAATTCGAAGCCGCGATCGTTTGGCTTTTTCGCTGCTGCCACAAATCTCATCACTGACGGGTGACCGGTGAGCTAGAAAAGGTAAATTGTAAAGCTAATGTAGAACCGTATCTCATTTAAGGCTTAGTTTTTAAAACTTACAATTAGCTCATCCGTATTCAAGGCTTAGGTTTCAATGCTTACAATTAGCTCACCTGTATATGACAAAATAGTAAAAATTTATGAATGACTGTAAAGCTCACCAATTTGCATATCTGTAGCTCTTGCAATGCTGCCTTTTCACTCTCGGCGTCGTGTGCGCGAATCAACTTTAGCGCCACCCACTCGTGGTTTGAATTCTCGGCCGCATACACATCAGCGAATCCACCTGGAAGATGAAATTAGAAAGTTAAAAAATGCAAAAATGCATTGACTTCTGGTTACAGCTGTCTTTTATCGTCATCTAGATAGTTTTTTAATTCAAAATTTCTACCTGATCCAATTTTCCGTCGAATCGCATACTGTACATCGGCCACTTTGACTGCTGCTCCGACAAGGGGATCAGATTCCGTTAAACCAAGACTTGATGACGCCGATCCGCCCAACAATCGTGAAGCGAAACCTTTGATTTGATCCGCCATCCTGGAATTTGTGAGTTTGAAAAGGCAAACGGTTATTTAAAAAAAAATACCGACTGGGGCTACCAGTGGTGAATTTATCGCATACACGAAATATATCAATCACAATACAACGACACACACAATACTAGGCTATATCTTAACTTAACCCACGTCATGACAGACGGCTCCCTAACCCTAAGCTCAATGGGGAACTAAATAGCTTTTTTGGTGGTGAAGGGAAGATGACGATGAAGGAGTGGCTTGTCACTTTAAAGAACTGGGGCCACAACCACCAGACTGCCCTCCAGAAAGCCTCTCAACCCGAAGGGAAAGGAAATCCGAAGGGGGTGACCATGTCGCATGTGGGGTTCGAACCCTCGACCTTCCGATTAAGATAAAAGGCACTTAACCAGTCAGCCACACGTGCTCTAGCCACACGTTATCGTTTAAGTAGTGAAAGCTTCGAAAAATCTAGAAAAGTCTAGTCTAGTAAATGAGTTGATTTCGAAAAGATCAAAATGTAAAAACGGAACTTCAGAAAACAAAAAAAGACAACTAACAGGTTTTTTCTTAAAGAAAGGAGCAAAGATTAAGGGAAATTTTTAGTGTTTAAAAGCTAATTGAAATGAATAAAGGATGAAGGTGCGATAAAGCGAGCAAACGAGAGTAATTGCATGTAATTTTCTCACCTCTGCCACCTTTACTTAGAGTATTTTCCTCTCAAACCAATAACTATTTGAATAAAATTGCGCAAATAATTCTTTTATTTAAATAATGCGTTAAGGAAATGTCAAAAAGCTGTTCTAAAAAGCGCTCTAAAATTTCGATGCGAAATTTCGATGCAAAATTTCGATCTATTCACTTTTCCTTTTGCATAAAACCAACTAAATAAGATATTCAGTCAAAGAAATGAATATCTGTAGTAGCAACCGCATATAAAAGCTCTCGAAAAGGTTTTTTTTGCCATTTTGCGAGTGGGGATCTTTGCGCACCTTTTTTCGCGCCCAGCTCATTAGCGCGCCTTTTTTCGCGTTTTAAAACCCTCTAAAAAGCTAATATTAACCAATTTCCATTTCAAAAGTTGTTTTTCGAGTTAATTTTAGGGCATAGAATCCAAATTTTGACATAAGCGAAAGCTGGAAGCAAGCGCAAAGCAATAGAAGCATACATAGGGAAAAATCGACAACTTTCTGCAATTTGATCTACCCGTTTTAGATTTCAAACTGGTTCCACAAACTCTGATATGTCAAAATTTGGATTCTACGCTCTAGCATCATCTAGAAAAACAACTTTTAAAATGGAAATTGGTTAATATTAGCTTTTTAGAGCTCTTCAACCGGGGGCGCAAAAAAAAGGTCGCATTTGTCTCACTTCTGCCATTTTTTTTATTACTAGTGAGTATCCAAAAACTACGTTAATTTTTTTACTGTTTGAGCACTTGAGAATGTTTTATTTGAGCGGAACAGACTCTAAATTCACTTCATCGGGTTTACCTAAGAAATCACTAACAGAAAATGTGGTTATCAATTCATATTTGATCAGTTATCAAGTAAAAATTTGTGCAACAAAGATTTTCCTAAAGCTTTCCCAAAGAGCAAGGATTTTGCGATAATAGAAATCTTGAAAAGACGAAGTTGAGTTAAAAAGTCATAGAGAAATAAAGAATTTACTTTTTTCAACCAAAAATCGAAAGATTTGATTCAAAAATGTTAGGAAAAGTTTCCAAAAACTGGTCGAAGCTTACTAATAGCTTACTAGGTAAGCTCTTAAAATCAACGACCTCTTAAAATCAATTCCTCAAAGTAAATTACCCTATGACTCATTCAATCAGTGACATTCTTTCATGAAAAGCTGGCTAGTGAACTAAGAAAAAAATCGAAATCGTGTCCGGGAAAGGAGAGCACAATTTTCGAGTGTAATGTGTATTCTCTCGGAATTTCTGAGCAGAAAAGGTCATTCATTTATAAAACAATGCCTTTGTTCAATAGCTTTATCAAAAAGGATTGTCTTTTTGATTGTGATAGATGCAATTTGAACTCTCTCCAACATTGTCACTGAGCATAATTTATTGAGTATCCGACCTGTACAAACGACAAAAAAACACAATGTGCAGACACAACAGGGTATCGTAAAAAGAGAAACCCGTTTTCCACTCAATATTTCTAATATCCGGGAGCGGTTCTTGGTGGAGGACAATGGTCGCATCCGCCTGATGGTCCAACGTTTCCGTCTTGTCCCGGGTTTCCGTCTTGTCCTGGGTTTCCTGGGCCTCCATTATTACCCATGTCTCCTTGAGGTCCTTGTTGACCATCTTGTCCAGGGTTTCCATCTTGTCCAGGTGGTCCTTGGGGTCCAGATTGACCAGGCTGTCCGGGCTGTCCTGGTGGTCCGTTTGGTCCGGGAACCTCATTGATATGTCCAGGTTGTCCAGGCTGTCCACGGTTTCCAGCATTTCCTGGCTGTCCGGGTTGTCCTTGAGGTCCGGGCTGGCCACGGCCTCCAGGATTTCCAGGAGCTCCAGGTCCTCCAGGGTTTCCATTGTTTCCGGATGGTCCTTTGGGTCCAGCGTTTCCAGCGGGTCCGGCTGGTCCCTCTGGGCAATCGAAGCACCAATCGGGTTGAGGAGCTGGTGTGGCAGACGGGCCATCAGGTCCATCATTTCCAGGAAGACCGGATTGTCCATCTTGTCCATCGTCTCCATCGGGTCCGGGTGGTCCTTGGGGTCCTGGTGGGGAGACTCCACAGCCACAGCATCCTCCAGCCGGTGCCGCTTCAAAGCCACCCTCCACACCGCTCGATCCGTAGCCGGCTTGACGCCGTGACCTCAGGGCTCCGCCGGAGACCTTGGCCAAGACCTGAAAGAAGGATGTGATAAGGAACTTGATATCTAAGTGTCCAAATCTTAGAGCAAATTTAAACCTAATCTAAAAGTAAATATAAAGCTAGCTCTCACCTGTGTTCTCGTGACTTCTCTCCAGATGTTCGATGAACGAGATTTGCAGAAATCGACCTCAGACTAAAATGCGTTTGATAAAGAGTTGATGGTCTAGAAATAGGTAATAAATAATGTATAGACATCATATTCCCCACCTGCATGACAGATTGCATGTGCTGGAGGTAGTTGTAGAGCATGGGAACGGAAAGGACACACACTAGGGTGGCCACAGTTGAGATTGACACTCCCAAAAAGGCGACTTTTCTCAAAGAGGAGGCCTCCGCCTCGAGTTGCTTAACGTCTGCTGTCATCTGAAAGAGGTAAATAGAGACAAGATCTCAAAATCTTACAATTTAAACTGTTACAGTACGATTGTTCTTGATAAGATTGTTGTGATCTTAAGCCAGTCAGTCACACAGCTAAATTAAATTGGATAGTGCTCAAAAAGCATGACTGTCTAAAAAAGCATGACTGTCTAAAAAAGTATGACTGTCTAAAAAAGCATGACTGTCTAAACTTAGCTAAATACTTAGACTAATAGATAATGTCCTAAAGCGACAATAGATAATGTTCTAAACTAAAAATAGATAATCCTAAACTCCAAATAGATAATCCTAAACTAAAGATAGATAATCCTAAACTAAAAATAGAAAATCCTAAACGAACAGTACAACAAAAGCTATCCTAAGAATGATTGATCATTTCAACCCATACAACCACTCAGAAAACCAGCTCAGAGATCATATCAATCAGACTCAAAAAGAGCCCAATCAAATCAATCAACTCAAATTGGCTAAACTGGTTTCCCCCATTGTGTAGAAGAAATCGAAATGATCATCCAATAATAGAAATGAGCTTTCGCAAAAAAAGGTCAAAAGGAAAGTCGAAAAGAGAAAAGCTTTACCTTTCTTGAGAGCGAATGAGCCCACTCTGAAGCGACTTGTAATTGTTACGGTCTTATATATGAGAGGGGAAGACTTGGCACCACCCCTAGCAATGGGAGGAGAGCCGGAGGGTGGGTGGGGAGATGAGGGAAGGGTTTGGGGAAAGTTTTGGTGAGTGAGAGTAGGAGAAAGATGAGAAATTGGGGACAAGAGTTCAGAGAGGTTGAGAAGGTTAACTGTAGAAGACAAGATATAAGACTAAAGAAGCTAGAGAAGGAAAGTTTTAGCAGACAAAGGTGTTGAAGCTGGAGACAAGAGAAGAGATCGACGAGTAAAGTTGAAGAATGAGAAGAGAAAACAGTTAGATGGGTAAAAGGACATAGAGGTAGAGTGAAACTGAGAAAATGGAGAAAAACGAAAACTCGAAAACAAGGAGAAGCTCAAGAAAAAGAACTAGAGAAAGAAATTCCCTGGAGAAGCACAGAGAACAGTCTCTTTTCTATGTCATTCTCCCGTTGTTCCTCTTGCTCCTCTTGCTCTTCTTGCTCTTCTTGCTCTTCTTGCTCTTCTTCTCCCGCCCGATGGCACTTTCGCTGCCAAATAAAGGAGAAGAAAGGTGAGAAATAAAGAGAATCGCCTCACCCCCAATTTCTCCTTTTCTCTTGTAACTGTTTGAGTCTCAAGTGCTGTGTCATGCCTTGTTCTCGGTCTCTTCTCTCGAGAAACCACAGTTAGGTGAAATTCGTTGTGACGTGGCCGCTTGTAAAACGAAGAAAAACCCTTCTTCGGGATGGCAATTGAGAGTAATTGATGGGTTTTAAGTTTTACATAAAAAGTTTTTGAGGTTTTATCAGGGAGAGGTCAAAGATCAAAAACTTCTGAACTGGGTTTGCAAAAATGATTTATGTTTTGGGTACAAAAGTTCACAGAAGAAGAACTCCAGAGGCGTGAGCGTCAGCCAAAACCTAGAGTCAATCAGACAGACTTCTGAACTGGACAGAATCCAATTCTAACAAGGAAATGACAGTTTTTTTTGGATTTTAATGATAATAGTTTGATTATGTTAGTTAAAAGTTGATGTTAATAGTTAAAAGTAAATGAGAAGTAGTTTAAAATTCTCTTATGAGAAGTAGTTCTCTTTTTTCTTATGAGAAGTAGTTTAAAATAAAATTGTATTTGAAATGGAGAACGATTAAATTTGCAAATCCAAAAAAACAAAAGAAAAAAGGGGAACGCAGACTCAAACCAGAGAGACATCGCCTTGTAGCCTAATGCACTGCCAGTATCTTAACCCACTGCCAGTATCCTAACCCACTGCCAGTATCCTAACCCACAATCGGCCACCACTGCTCCTTGAGATCTCTGGGAAATCTGCTTACAAACACCGGTTGTGATTTTGAAACCCCATACAAAACTTTGCATAGCATTTGCTTATAACTTTTGACAGAGTGCTCCGTAGCCGAAATGGAAAGCAGATTCGGAATCGGCGTTGAATTCTGCGTCGAATGGCTCATTTCATTTGGCCACCACACCCTGCAAAACTGTACATTACCGAACGTGAAAGAAAATCAACCGGATGATCACCCGGCGTTACGTCAAAGCGCAATTTTTCGTCAACTATCGGAAAGTTCAACTCCTTGCCAAGCCTTATGCCGACTTTTTAGAGGCTAACTCAATTGTTTCTTTGAATAAGAATTTTGAGAAATACATTGAGCTTTGCATTGGAGAATTGGAGAAAATGTTGAAGCCAGGAGACGATCGATCGGAAATTGAACGCTTGGAGATGATCGATCGGAAATTGGAAAGCCAGGAGATGATCGATCGAAAATTGAACGCTTGGAGAAGCTGATTGCTCTCCACCAACAGCAAAAACTTCATTGCACTCGACATTGCAAAAAGCAAAAGAGTACCGCTTTGTTTTTAATGTAAGTATTTTAATGTTTTTAATGTGTAAAAGAGTGTGATATAGTCTGGTGCAAGTCATTTCGGAGCGTTGAATCCGTAAGGACAAAGATCTCGTCACGAATCTGGTGTTAATAGATCTTTATTGACTGAATACATCTAAATGTACATCTAAATTTGGTATTTTGTAGATCTCGGATGAATGGAAATGCATTGCCCAATGGATCTGTCAGTGTCAAATCTTTGGGGTCAAAAATAATCGATCAAATCTTTTTATTTAACATAAAACAATGATACCACTCTAATAAAATAAATAACCTTTTAAAGTCTTGATAAACTAAATCGAGAACGAAAATAAAAACGAGAACAAATCGAGAATTCTGTAAATTAAAAAGTTATCCATATTTCTTTTTTCCTTTTTTTCTTTTTTTTTTTTCTTTTTTTTGTCTTCTCCTTTCACTTCAAATTATGAAGAAGCTTTTAAACGACGACGTTTTTCTTCACGCCAAATTGTACTCGATTCGTTTTTATTGCTGCAAAAGTTCCCCTTTCGGATGCATCGAATCGAACTGATGATCAAAGAGGAACACTTTCACTCATCGAGCATATCCCCTTTGATCTCAAATTATTGGAGATTGCTGGGATCTCTAGCTTCGTTCGTTCTGGTCGTCGTTCTGGTCGTTCTTTTTATAAGCTTTACAAGGGAATGATCTAAACTGGGGCTGACATTTCAGGAAAAGCTCGGAGTGGAAACACCAGTATATTGTCCTACTGCAGTAGGATATGGGCATTCCAAATATCTATTCAGTTTTTGCCTGAATTAAGATCCTGGCAAGAAAAATGAAGTTTCGACCATTCGAGCCAATAAGGGCGCGCCAAACGCCAAAGCGGACGAAGAGCGGCAACGGCCTAGAGGTTAATGTGCTGGACTACGGATTGCCAATTCCGATTTCCGCGGTGGGTTCGAGTCCCTCCACCGACAGGCCTTTTTGAAACACAGACAAATATTCTTTTTAAGGCTACTACAGTGCGTTGAAGATTTGGAGTTAAAGGTGTTCTTTGGATCCGTGAAAAGCTCATTGAAATTGAAAATCTAGGATTAGATGATCTAAAATCTTAGATTTTTAAACTTTGTGTTCTTTTTACAGTCTGAGCACTGAACTTTTCGAAAACCACTGTATTTCTAAACTCTTGACCAACCAGATTTGCGTTATTCTCAAAATTAGAGGTTCTCGAATGTTATTGGGTTGGTACTTTTTACTTGTATTCTATTAAAAAAGTTGAAAACTTTATGAAAATTTTTGAAACTAATGGATTCTTTATCAACCAAAAACCGAAACAAAAACATACATTCAAAAACTGATGATCCAAGAGGAACACTTTCACGCAAAAAGATATCTCCAAGACTCGCTTTCACTCTCAATTCTTTTCCCATTTCATCACTCTTTTCGCCAATTTTCGCCAGCAAATCCCAATTCACAGTCTCCAAAAAAAAACATTCCTTGAAAGCAAAAAGAGCGCTAAAGTGAGGCGCTAAAGTGAAACTCTTTTGATACTTGATCCAATTTACGGCCCTTCATCACCTATCATTCAAACGATTATCCAGTGACACTTTTTTTTGCCACTTTCTGCTTTTCTGCTTTCTGCAATTGACACTTCCATTACTTTTTCATTTGGTGATAATTGGCTCCGATCAAGTTCGTGAAATTGATTGGATTTTATGGAGAAAGTGGTAGATTTCCCAGAAGTTATGAGGTTTTCCGAAGTTAAGATATGAGGTTTTCCGTTTTTAGGTCAGGGATTTAGCTTTTAAAACTTTAACTGCTTGGTATAAGTTTAGTTTTACTTTTGCGCGGATTTAAGTGGTCAAGTAAAATCTTAAATCAATTTAAAGAAGAAGGGGAGGGGAGGAGAGAAGAAGAAGAAGAAGAAGAAGAAGAAGAAGAAGAGGAAGAAGAGGACGATTTCTTACCACAAGTCAGCACAAGTACTCACATCTTGTAGGCTAAAGTAGAGCTTAAGTGGCTAAAGTAAAGCGCAAAAAACTTGTGAAGTGCTTCTGTTGATAAAAAGCTTATAGTTAACACGAATTTCATCCTTACTATTAGGCTTCAAATGATCGGCTTCAAATGATCGGCTCCAATGATCGGCTCCAATGATCGGCTCCAAATGATCGGCTCCAATGATCGGCCAAATTGACAATACTTGGCTAACTTTGCTTGGCGAACGGCGAGGCTGGGGTACCGTAGGGTACTAGTTGCACGTTTTGTTCAAGGTTAATTAGTTTCCTTAGAAGTAACAAAGAAACGCTAGGTGAGGACTGTGAACTCAAGCAAAAAGTATGTGGCTTGCCTTGTATCCGAGCCTTGCCTTGTATCCGAGCCTTGCCTTGTATCCGAGCCTTGCCTTGTACCCGAGCCTTGCCTTGTACCCGAGCCTCCACTAAGCCACCAGCTCATATTAGCGGCGCACAAGAGAAGCTTTTTAAGCAAGATTTCGCAAACTGGCCTCGCGCGAGAGTAGCCTTTTAGGTAAGGTTTTGCAAACTTTTATTCCAGATATCTCGAGACGTATGCGCAGCTGATTTTTACACCATTGTGATCAGCATAGTCAATTCTACAACTTCTATTTTGGCATCGAACGATCTGAGGTACTTCGGACGATCCGAGGTTCAGATCCCCAATTGATTATATGATGATGATCAAGGTCTGGATCAATGTAGGGTCCTGGCATCAAATCAAAACTCAAGAGATAGACAAGATCACCAGACAAGACAAGATCAACTCTATACCTTTTTGGTTAGTTAATTAAGTTTATTCAAATCATTCAAGACTTCAAAACAAAGTTTTATTCAAATAATCAATTCCTTTGTCCTCATGCGCCTCCAAATATCGATAACACTCTCCCACCCAAAAATGCTTACAATGTAACTGTCACTCTTTTGTCAAGGCCGGCCATTTCTCACATTCACGCGCCGGTATTTTACGGCCAAGTGTCAAGAGACTGTTGTGTCTTGTCTCCGCTTTGCTTTCCCCTCTTTCCCCTCTTTCCTCTATCTCAATTCTCTCTCAGTAAGAATACTTCCGGTTGAGAGGTTTAATTGCAGCCAGCTTCTCCCCTTTCCCTTATTACAGGGGTCAGCTCTTTGTTCTATAAAACTTCCAGAAAAATTCCAAAGAATTAGCAAATCATAAAATGAATGGCTTATTGCATTGTTGTCTATTTCCTATTTCCTAAAATGATTGGTAATGTCCTTGGCAATGACCGCTTGCTGCAAAATTGCAAGTGCTCTTCCGTAATCGTTTAGGACAATGGTTTTGAATGTTTTTTTGTTAAATAATCTAAATATAAGGAAAAATGAAAGTTGGGGATTGTTTTTAACAACTAATTTAACAATATTATCAATCAGTTACTTGATCTGGTTTCAAAAAAGTTCAAATAACTTGAGGATTTAGAAGTAAAACTATCATTTGCCATCTCCACATAAGCCAAACAGATTCTACAAGCTTTCGAAAGATTCAAAGTGCTTTCGCTTGCTGAATAGCTTGTTTTACTTTTTAAAACTGAACCCCAAAGCTTCAACTTATGACTTTCTTGCTCTGAAACTTATGAAAATCACTCTGAAATCTACTATATATGTTTGTTTGTCTGTGCACACTACCGGAGGAGCCAGTGGACTACTCAGTGGACCCAGTGGACTACTCAGTGGACCAAGTGGACTGTTTCAAATGACTTATAGTTAGTTTGACTTAGAATTCCATGTAGTTGTGCAACATGTTATTAAATTTTTAAAAAATCAAAAGTGCAGACGCAGGTCGGAGTCGAACCCGGATTGTGTGGGTTGGAGACAGAGGCGCTCGCACTGCGCCAGCATGGCCGAGTGGCCGAGGAGCAAGGCCTAGTGGCTGAGGTGCAGGGCCGAGTAGTTAATAGGCATAACCGGTCAACGATCAGATAAAAGAGCATGGCGGAGTGGTTAACACGAGCGTTTCTCAAACGAGCGGAGGAGAGGGGTCGCGGGTTCGACTCCTCTCGCCACCGAATCTTTTGCTTTTTGTTCCAAAAATTTTTTTCTTGCAAAGCTGCTGGCAATAAAGAAGATAACAGAAAGAAACAGTAAAGAAAGCTAAAGGTAGGGTAAACTGCTCCTAAAGGAACTCAAGAACCAAAAGCTCAAGAACCAAGAGCAGAATATAGCTTGTGTTGCAATGAATTCAGAGCCCAATGAATTCAGAGCTTCAAAACGAAATCTTCAGTAGTCTAAGCTTTTGTCTATAATTGTCTGCTGGTTTTGTTTGTGTATGTCTACAATGCAAGTTTTAGTTGTAGATAAAATTTCCGAGCAATTCGCCAAGAAACTGTAAAGAAAACGAAGATGGAATCAGGTTTGAAGTTGAAAGTTCTAACGTTTTCCAATTCTCACGTTTAATACCTTGAAATTCTTGAGTTTGTTTTCCACTAAACATCTCAAAGCACTTCCGCGAATTGAAAACTCGTTACAATGATCAAAAGAGCTCGCTACAATGATCAAAAGAACTCGCTACAATGATACCAAACTCGCCCACGCCAATCAAACCGTTCCACTTTTCTCAATCTTAACTCTTTTCACCTATCATCAAACTAATGAACAAAGCAAGCATGTTGCGATAAAAACGAGTATTAATCATAAACGATTTGCAGTTCAATTTGCAGTTCAATTTACAGTTCAATCCGTTTTGAACTCTACACAATCTTCTTTTTTATTCGCCTTTTTGTCACCATGTTGTTTTGAAGGTGAAACTAAAAAGATTTGAATCTGCTCTTTTTATGAGGCCAACTTTCACAAGGAAAAAGAAAGAAAAGCTTGAAAATGAGAAGACTTTTCAAAGAAAGCAAAAGGCAAAAACCAAAGCTTTGAAAGCAAAAGGCTTTTCTTGTGAAGATCGGTATCTCGGGGAGTTCCCCATTTCACTTAAAGGCTGAAGGAATGCTGAAAGAAGTTAGAAAAGCGGGGGGAAAAGTGGAAAAGAAAGAATAAATGAAGAGTGGCGAATCGAAAATCTCGTTCATCTTGCCGAATCCGCCTCTTTCCCCAAGAATTTTCCATGGATCGGTGAAAGTTTGACCTTGAAAGTGCAAAAATGTGGATGATGAATGCACCGGCTCTGATCCGATGAAGTTGACACGAATTCCTGACCATTGTTTTTGTTGAGGGTTCAGAAAATAAGCAAAAAGTATTGAGGGGGAAGTTTTAGAAACATTTTACAGAAACTTTACGAATTTATTCAACGATTGACTAGGGAAATGTTTTATGTTAAAATCGATTCGAAATATGAGACTAAACACTTTCTTCAAATTTTAACGGATACTTGCTTTTCAATTTTACCCAATTTCACTCAACTTTTGAGAAAAACACGGAAGTTTGGAAAACAAAAAACGCCATCGCGATATGGGTGAGAATTAGTTGCTCTCAAAAAGTGACCGGATGGCGTAGCGGATAGTGCGCTCGCCTCCTGCACCTCCTGCACGATGGGATTCCTGGTTCAAATCCCCTCGCTGCCAAAAGCTAAATCTTAGCCGCTTTATAGCTTCTTACTATTTATAGACACTTTAAAATACTTAAAAATTCGTTTTACTTGGTTTTAGTGGTTTAACAAGAAAGCAAAAAGATTTTGACAGTGAAGGGATTCGAACCAGGGACAAAGATTGGATAGCGATCGATCCAAAGGCGAGCACAATATCCACTACACCACTAGTCACTCTGCTCTGGGACGATTAATTCGCCCCCATACCACGGCGGGACTTTTTCCAAAAAATGTCCAAACTTTTCCTATCAAAATTTTTGGCAAATGCGACCCCGCCAATAAGGGGGAGCCACATCGATGGGAACGAAAAGCCGCAGTGGCCTAGAGGATAGTGCGCTAGTTCGTGGGACCTACACGATTCTTGCGCTCGGGTTCGATTCCGCTTGTCTCCGATATTTTCCACTTTTTTTCCAAACCTCTAGAAAACATTTTTTAGAGTTCCTAAAGTGTTTAAAAAAATAAAGAAGTATAGAGAAAGCATTAGCCAATCTAATTAGGTGGAGTTCTAATTCTTAGAAGTTTAGCTAGTGCCATGACCTGGTGGTATAGTGGAATAGCCGACTGGTTTGTAAAACTGTAAAAGATATTCAATTAATACAAAAATCTTGCTCTTTTCACTGTTTATAGACTGTTTTGGATTGTTTTCAATCAATTACTTGGCAAATTTCTTATTGTTAGATGTAGTATAAACTTCTTTCTTGTTTTTTTGTGGCTTTGTTACACTGAAACTGGTAAGCGTATGCTTGGTAAGATGTTTTAGACGATAGAAACAGCACCTTTAACCTTCAATAAACTTTAGTAAACAATTTTTATACGATTGGTATTGATTGTTTAAATAAAATTGATTTGAAACATTGTGATCACCATGTAAAATTGATTATTTTGTTCAAAATACCCAATTCAAGACTTTTTTCATTTGTTTGAACCCAAAAACTTTCTTTGTCCGCAGATTTTTGATCTTGGTCCGCAGATTTTTGATCAAAACTTTATCAGACACAAAAAAATCAGCATCAACATCACAAAAAGCGAGTTCCAGAGGGTAAAGGGGAGCGCTCTCATAAAAAAAAAGCAGAGAGAAAGAATGAAAGGACGATGACTCGTGTCGGCTCTTGTTTTGCAGCTCTCCTGTCAGCTCTTTTCTCCGTCTCTCGCTCATTTCAAACAATAGAGCAACAATAAAATTGACAATTAAACGCTTTTCATTGAAATTTTAGTTAGCAAGATAGAAATTGGGTATTTTTGATTGATCAGAGACTTTTTGAGAGTAATTTTGCATGTCTGTCTGTTTGAAAAAACGGATCTTAGGTCAAGACTGATACTAGTTAAATTTTACAATGATTTTACAACGATACAACTAATTTTAAAGCTTTTTTTCAAGCTTAGCTTTGCCTATAATAAAATTGACTCAACATATTCAATTAACGATTTAAATTTGAGTCTAGCTGATGTGCTTAATTCAGCTCTAAACATCTCGTGACTCGTGTCGGCTCTTGTTCGCTATTTACTTTGAATTTAAGCTCAAACGCACCAGACCTACACCATAGCCAATAAAGCTAGCTCCGAGATGATCAAATGAAAAACAGAAACTGGCAAAAACTCGCTATTCATTTCAAAAGAGCTTTAAATCAAAGGACAAACTTGACCTTGAGCATTGAATAGACGTTCTGGAGAGGAAAAAAAAGACTTTTCTCTTTCAGAAAAGCCGAACTCCTTGTCTTGACATGTAGTTAATTCGTTTTGATTTCGAACGTCTGTCTTTTTTTTTCCGTTTCTTTGACCTTGCATTCCTTTTCTGATTCTAGCCTTTGTCCTTGTTTGATTCAACAAAGCAACAAAGATTGGCGATTTGTGAATCACAAAGGAATAACTGTTTAAGTAGACAGATAGACTCTAGTTTACAAGGAGAAAGCATGGAATTATTATGGTTTTTGGAAATTTGGAGATATGGAGGGCTTTTTGAACTTTGACTACTTCATCATATTGAAGCTAACCTGGGTCTTTAATTAGTTTTTGTCCAATCCTTTGCAATCGCAAATAGAGCGAAGATTTTTGGGGGCCTTCATCAGGCGAAGTTGCTTGCTTGGCGACCGGTTGCTCTGTGGCTGACTGGTAAGTAGATACGCTACAAGGCGATTGGTCTAGCGATCGTGAGCTAGGTTCGATCTAGCGATCGTGAGCTAAGTTCGATCCCGGCGGTCGGATTTTATTTTGATTTTTTAGTTTTTCACGATCCCCAGCATTGACTTTATTGAATCTTAATTTTTAGTCTGAATCTCCTTGTTACTTTTTGAATACTTTGCGGATTTCTTTAACTTCTACCAAGTCTAAAACAGGATCTGTATAAAAATTAAAGCTTTATCCAAAACTTTACAGCAATACACACACAAAATGAAAGACAAAATGAAAGAAAAAATGAAAGACAAAAGACAAAGAAAAATGTTTGAGCCAATCTCTTGTAGCCAATAAGATTTAGTATCCAGGTGCAGTTCTTGGTGGTGGGCAATGACTGCAGCCACCTGCAGGTCCAGCCATTCCATCGGGCCCTCGACCTCCAGGGATTCCCGGTTTCCCAGGAATTCCTGGTGCTCCCGAGCCTCCGCTTTCTCCCGGACTCCCGTCCAATCCCGGTTTCCCAGGCTGGCCAGGGAATCCATCAGGACCAGGCAATCCAGGTCCGCCTGGGATTCCTGGCGGACCATCAGGTCCAGGCACAACGCTGAGGATTCCCGGAGTGCCGGGCGCTCCTTTAGCTCCAGGAACTCCAGGCTGTCCTGGCGGTCCCATTGCTCCCACTCCTCCAGGTGGACCTCGAACTGAAGCCTCTCCAGGTTTTCCGGGAAGTCCTGGACCTCCAGCAAATCCTTTAGGTCCTGGGCGACCGGGTGGGCCAGCTGGAGCATCAGGACACTCGTAGCACCAGTCCTGAACGATTTTAGCAGTAAAACGTGAACTTAAATCATTAAACAGTCGTTAGATGAACTTTACTCACCAAATTTGGTGGTGGGGGTGCCTCAACGCCGGGTGGGCCGTCTTTTCCCGGGAATCCAGGTGGTCCATCCTCTCCATCTCTGCCATCAGGCCCTGGCAAGCCTGCGGGTCCCGTCGGTGACACTCCACAACCACAACATGCTCCTAAATTTAATATATAGCACTGAGTTTTGATTTGCTTCACCTTGTAATGTTTAAAGGCACCCGAAGATTGAGAAATTAAGAAATTTTCTTGAAAATTTTTGAAATTTGTTTAAAAGACACTCAAAATTGACGAAAATTTCTTTGAAAAAGCCAAAAAGACAAAAAAAAGACTAATTCTTTCTAATTTTTTGTATTTTTTTTACCGAATTCGTTTTCTTCATGAGAAGCTCTCACTAAAGTCTAACTATGAAAGCATTTTCTTGCATTTGATGATTATTTTAAACTCATAGAGTTAGAGGAAATGCTTTTTGGAAAAAGTGAAACAATGGGGTGTGAAAGAGTTGATTAAAGAAGAAGAAAAAGAAATAAATGCAAAAAGGAGACGGTCTTGATCACTGTTTATGAGGGACGAGTGGAAAAGAAAGGAAAGGAAAGAAAGGAGAGAAAGGGGCAAATGGGGAAGTGATCGCTTCGGGAAATGGGGATCGGCAATAAAGGGTAAGTAAAGTAAAAAAGATATTAAGCTAGTAAGCTTAAATTTTGCTTTGATTAGAAAGACAAAACTCTAGGGAAGTATTCAGATTTGAAGTGAACTTGGCAGAGGCTTCAAATCAGTTCCTAGTTCTAGAAATCGTTTGAACGTTGCAAACCTGTATTGATAAATATTAATACTAAATTTGCTTAGAATTTGCTTTACGGAAGATCAAAGGTAAGTCGATGTTGTCACCGAGGCTAATCTCAAGAAGTTTTGAGATCAGCTACACTTGAAAGCCACTCCTTCGCAAACCAGAATGACAAAGAATATGGGAGTTTCTCGAACTTCTATGAGCAGTATTGTCAAAAATCGTCTTGGAACGAGAGCTTCATTGGTGTCATTGGTGTCATTTGAATGTAAGATGTAGGCTTAGGCTTAGCTCATATCGTTCTAGCAGTAATTTTACATGTAATTTCAAGCGCCTAAGCACTCTGATAGCTCATATCGTTCTAGCAGAAGCGATAACTTTTGAGTTTCTATGATATCATGCTTAAATCCTCAAGTTCTTTAGTCCCCGTAATCCTGAACAACCCTGTATTTATGTTACACTCTAATACAAGTGCAAAATTTGATAGAAAACTTTGATAAAAATTTGTTGGAGAACTATTTACATGTAATTCTCTGGTTAGATGTAATTTTACATGTAATTTCAAGCGCCTAAGCACTCTGATAGCTCATATCGTTCATTATTTATAAAAATTTTTTTTTTTTTTTTTTTTTTTTTTTTAAAAAAAAAAAAAAAAAAAAAAAAAAAAAAAATTAAAAAAAAAAAAAAAAAAAAAAAAAAAAAAAAAAAAAAAAAAAAAAAAAAAAAAAAAAAAAAAAAAATAATTTTTTTTTTTAAAAAAAAAAAAAAAAAAAAAAAAAAAATAAAAAAAATTATTTAATTAAAAATAAAAAAAAAAAAAAAAAAAAAAAAAAAAAAAAAAAAAAAAAAAAAAAAAAAAAAAAAAAAAAAAAAAAAAAAAAAAAAAAAAAAAAAAAAAAAAAAAATTTAATTAAATATTTTTTAAAATTTTTAAAAAAAAATTTTTTTAAAAATAATAATAAAAAAAAAAAAAAAAAAAAAAAAAAAAAAAAAAAAAAAAAAAAAAAAAAAAAAAAAAAAAAAAAAAAAAAAAAAAAAAAAAAAAAATTTAAATAAAAATAAAAAAAAAAAAAAAAAAAAAAAAAAAAAAAAAAAATTTTAGCAGAAGCGATAACTTTTGTTGATTTTCTATGATATCATGCCTAGTTTTACAGTTTTTACAGTTTTTAGGATACATTTTTTACCGTTTTTACAGTTTTTATAATACAGTTTTTACAATTCTACGCCAAGAGCTTCTTCGGAACTTTTCTTACACCACTATAGCACCTAATGTTCTTTGAACATTGCACCCGATCAATCAAAGCACGCAATTTCCACTAGATGACACACTCGAGTACACGCATTCCATTCAAATGATAAGCTCTCTTCCCTACTAGTACTTTTTCTGTGTCACTTCTTTTCAGTACATTCTGTCATTTCTTTTTCCTTTTTTCTAATATGAGATGACCCTTTAAAGCACTTGTCATTCTTGTGGTCGAAGGACGTCTTTGTAAAGAGCTTGAAAAAACGCTCTTTTTCAGCAGCGAATTTTCTTGTTAATGGTTTTTGGGGTTTGAATGATAAAAAGCAAAAATCTACTAGATTTTCCACTAAATTCTAATTGTTTAGAGGGTTTGTTGTACGCTCTAAAGTAACATTTCCACGAGCGTAGACAGTCAGCAATGATTCGTTAGTTCTTTGTGCTAAAAGAAACTAAAACAAGATTCCTGGTGCGCTGGAGCTATTCCTGGCGCACTGGAGCTATTCCTGGCGCACTGAAGCTATTCCTGGCGCACTGGAGCTATTCCTGGCGCACTGGAGCTATTCCTGGCGCACTGGAGCTATTCTTGGAGCTATTCTTCTTACTAAATGCGACACTCAATCTCTTAGCTCTTATATTGTCTAGCTCTTATATTTAAGAGTTTTAACTATTTGAAAACATTGCCTAGCTTTAGAAAACAAGCTTTAGCCATTTCTCGACAACTTTTAGGCTCTTGTTTTTTTCTAATCTAACGATTTAACGACTTTTGTTCAAATTTTTCTTATCACTAACATTTCTCTCTCAATATCACAATGAAATTTTCATCGAACAATAGAAATCACACCTTTTTGAGCTTTTCTTAATCAACGTTTGATGTAAAAGTTTTCAATTGTTGCTGCAGGGAAAAGAGGGAAATTGGGAGTGGTCACCAATTTGAGTGATCATAATTTCAGGAAGAAAGATTTATGAATGGAGAGGGTTTTAGAAAAAAAAGAGGTAATGATAAATTAAAATCAGATTTAACCTCAAAAGCAAGTATTCCTTTAGTGTTATTATCGTAAAGAAAGACAGCTTTGAACTGCTTTGAACTTGTAAACTTTTCTAGACTTTCTTGTCTAACAGTTTACATTGTTAGTATTGTTTTCGTTACCTTGAATCGGGAATTGTCCCTCAACACCTAGCGATTGAGCATCGTAACCAGCTTGCCGCTTTCCTCGTTGACCTGAGACTTGAGCAAGAACCTGGAAAAATTACATAAAGTATTACATAAAGTATTACATAAAGTATTACATAAAGTACAGGGCGATCCAAAATCATGTAACTCCTTCTCAGAAAACTAGCTAGAGTTTGCGTAACTTATTTCAAAAGTCTCAAATGTTATATAGAGAATTGAAGGCCTTAATCTTGGCTTCATTTATCTGCTAAAAACTTTACAATCGGATTTATGCAGCTCATTTTACAAGCTTTCGAATGAACTCCAGTCGGTCGATCTCTTCCCTTTTATCAAAAGAGCTCGAATTATTCTTATTGTTATTAAATAGCATGAAATTATATTCTTACATTAAATAAATAGCGTAAAAAGTTTTCTGATATTTTTTTCTAAAGAAAATCATCAAAAATAGAGAAGAAAATCGTCAAAAACTTTGCCAGAGAGAAGCCGACTAGAGCTCATTCGAAAGCTTGTAAAATAAGCTGCATAACTCCGATTGTAAAGTTTTTAGTAGATAAATAAAGCCAAGATCAAGATTTCTACTATATATAAAGGAACTAAGACATCTGTCTGAGCTTTATATTTATAGCTTTATATAGCTTTTTATAAAGAAAATCATCAAAAATGCACTTTGCTAGAGAGAAGCCGACTAGAGCTCATTCGAAAGCTTGTAAAATGAGCTGCATAGATCCGATTGTAGAGTTTTTAGCAGATAAATAAAGCCAAGATTAAGTGCTTCATTTCTCTATATAACATTTGAGACTTTTGAAATAGGTTACGCAATCTCTAGCTAGTTTTCTGAAAATGAGTTGCCATTCTGGACCATTCTGTATATTAGTTTGACCGAAAAGTCTTATCTTCCTTCTGAAAGTCACTTTTTTTTTTGAAATTTTCATTTATAAATGAATAATTAGGCGATAAAACACGTGATTTACTTTAAAATAAAAAGATTAACGATTTAATTTAGCTCATTTTTAGACAATTTTGAAGCTTTGAAGCTCAAAGGAAACTCCGCTTTGAAGCAAATCCGAACGGGAATCCTTGTTTGTTTTTCTAAAATCTTTACAATGGACATAGAATGGAAACGGCTTGATGAAATGCTATGAAAATTTGTCTATTTGTCTAACTTTTTATTCTCGATCTTTGTCTTTTGACACAAAAATAGATTTCTGTGAGAAAAAGTGCTTAAAAGGTTTGAGTTTCATCGTTTTTCACTCCTCGATTTCACACCTTTAAAAAAAAAATCGCTAACGCAAGCTTTTCAGAATTCCTAAAGAACAATTTGTTAATAAATGATAGGAATTTCCGATAAAATAAACTAGAAATCGATTGGTTTATTAGTTTTTTTCAAAAATAACCTTAAAAAAGAAAACAAGGCTTTATGGAAACAACCTGAAACATCCATTTTTTTTAAAATGTACTCACCTGTGTTCTGGTGACTTCTTTCCAAATATTTGAGGATCTCTGCCGACAAAAGTCAACCTCAGCCTGAATAAAAAGTTGTTTCAAAAGTCGATTTAGTTGGTTTAGAATGATTTAGATACAAGAAAATTGCTTTGAAAATGGTCTAATAGTGAGACACTTGTCCATGGTGTTTCAAAAGTTCGAAGCCACCAGGAAACCGGCACACACACAGTGTACTTGTCTTTCCGACACACAGAAAACCTTTTTTGCAAAACGATTTAGAAATTCGAAATCTAGATGAAATTTTGATCTAAAAAAGGTTTTTTAAATAAAAAAACAGGACCTTTTTACTGATGTTTCCAAAAAGCTATCAATCTTGGTTTGAAAACTTAGGGCATCTATGGCAAAGTGGGGATCAAACTTGTGAGGTGGCTCTACGCTCTACGCTCTACGCTCTACGCTCTACGCTCTACGCTCTACGCTCTACGCTCTACGCTCTACGCTCTACGCTCTACGCTCTACGCTCTACGCTCTACGCTCTACGCTCTACGCTCTACGCTCTACGCTCTACGCTCTACGCTCTACGCTCTACGCTCTGCGCTCTACGCTCTGCGCTCTACGCTCTGCGCTCTACGCTCTGCGCTCTACGCTCTGCGCTCTACGCTCTGCGCTCTACGCTCTACGAACGCTGTACCACTCGGTCACGGTGGCACCGAGATGAGTCCGCAAAGAGGCCGCTAAAACCCAAATAAAACCCCCAGTCCTAACAAAACTTTAGACGCTTCTAACTCCTGGCAGATTGTCATTTAGCAAAAAAACTTTTGAACTTTTGAACTTTCGAATCTTTCCAGAAAATGGAAACGAGTTGGAGAAATGAGAAAATGTAATTTTTTCAGAGAATGTAACGGAAACACCATTTAAAGTCGCGTTAAAGATAGAATTTTCGTACTTGCATCACTGATTGCACATGTTGCAAGTAATTGTAGCAAAGTGGCACCGAGAGGACACAGATCAAAGTGGCGACGGTCGAGACGGAGACGCCGATGAATGCCAGTCTAAAGAAGGCTTTTTAAATCAACAATTGTTTAAATCAACAATGTAATTGTTCGGTTAAAATCTTCAGTCTGACTAGCTATAATTCATTTGTATTGTTTGTATTGTTTGTATTGTTTGGATTGTTTGGAATCTCATATCAACATGTCAACATTGAAAGGATTCACCTCCGAAACGCAGCCGCATCGCGTTCCAGCGACTTCTCGCCGCTCATGAGATCCTGGAATTGGAATGGATGGAATTAAAGAACTTTAATGGAATGGAATTCTTTAATGGAATTAAAGAACAGTAAATTAATGAATTTAAGAGAAAAACAAATATTTAAAGAAAGCTATAAGTTTTTTCTTGAGTTAATGAAGTTTTTGGGAATATTTTCCTTTATTTAGATAAGGTTTTGGGATTTCTTTGCGTAAATCTAAGGAAAATAGTCAAAGAACGAAATTTCTTCGGAGAAAAACTTCAAGAAACATCGAAATTCTTGTTTAAAACTGAAGAAACATTGAAATTCTTGTTTAAAACTTCAAGAAACATTGAAATTCTTGTTTAAAACTCAAAAAACATTGAAATTCTTCTTTAAAACTTCAAGAAGCATTGAAATTCTTCTTTAAAAACTCAAGAAACATTGAAATTCTTGTTTAAACTTCAAGAAACATTGAAATTCTTGTTTAAAACTGAAGAAACATTGAAATTCTTGTTTAAAACTCAAGAAACATTGAAATTCTTGTTTAAAACTTCAAGAAACATTGAAATTCTTGTTTAAAACTCCAATAAACATTGAAATTCTTGTTTAAAACTTCAAGAAACATTGAAACTCTTCTTTAAAACTGAAGAAACATTGAAATTCTTGTTTAAAACTTCAAGAAACATTGAAATTCTTGTTTAAATGTTTAAAACTGAAGAAACATTGGAATTCTTGTTTAAAACTCAAGAAAGATTCAAGCTTTTTCGTGAAATTCTAGAAATTTTAACGCTTTTGCACGATTTTAAGGTAAAAAAAGAGGTTTTTCATAAGATTTAAGGCAAAAAGTCAATCATATTCTTACAAATTCTTACTTAAATCTCAAATTTTCAACTTAAAATGCTAAACATTCTGGAATGAATCCAAAAATTTGCATATCTTTTGAATGTTACTGAAAGAAATTTGAAGATTTTGTTGGCTTTTCTTTTTTTTTCATGGGAGATCACGCTCCGATGCGGCTCAGAAACGCTGAACTGGCCATTTTTGGGGGAAAAAGCATGCAATCTTTTTCGAATCCCCTCTTTTTCCAATACTTTCCCCCCGAACTGGTCATCTCTTTTCCTTTTCCTTTTCCTTTTTCCTTTTTCCTTTTTCCTTTTCCTTTTTCTTTAATCCTTACATGGAATCGAGGCTAAAGAACAAACGGTTGGCAATGGAAAAAAAAAGGTTTTTGTTTTATGGAAAACCAGCCCGCTAAAATGAGAAGAATTTGAGGAATTTCTTGAAAAGAAGTTGAAACGAAAGGCTCATAGAAAGTAGCTTTGGCTAAAGAAAGTAGCTTTGGCTAAAGAAAGTAGCTTTGGCTCAGAGAAAGTAGCTTTGGCTAAAAGAAAGTAGCTTTGGCTAAAGAAAGTTGCTTTGGCTAGGCTTGGCTCAAAGAAAAGCTTTGGCTCAAAGAAAAGCTGATACATCAAATATATAAAATAAAATAGCTTGGCTGTGCGTAGAATTTAGAGCACAGGGAACAGGAAACAGGGAATAACTAAAAATAAACGAATTTCAAAAAATGACATAAGGTTTAACTCTTACAAAAAGAAGTGAAAATAGCATTTCTTTATGAGAGCGCGATTCTTGAGAAATTGTGGAAATGGAATTGAGTCTAGGGATTTCAGTGCTCAAGAAAATGGCAACTAGGGTATATTTTGGTAATATGTTTTAGAAACTATTGTTTTAGAAACTAGAACTTTTAGAAACTAGAACTTTTAGAAACTAGAACCTTTAGAAACTAGAAACTACTACTATTAGAAACGTTTTAGAAACTATTATTTAGAAACCTTGAGTACTAACGGGTCAAAAGGTGGTCAATGATGTTTGAATGGTCAAAAGAACAGAAGATTTGGGGACGAAAATGAGCTGAAAACACAAGTCGAGTAGGGAAAGTACGATAGCGCTTCTAGTTTTTTTCTAGTGACGGGCAATGGTTTTTCCCGTTACAAATTTCGGCAAAAACGGAGTCTAGGGGTTGAAAGAGGCTTCTCGCCTGTTTGACTAAGAACCAGATGGTGTAGTGGATAGTGAGTTGAGCTACGAAACTGACGTCATCTTTTGCTCACGGGTTCGATCCCCATTTTCGGATTTTTTTTGTTTTAAACTTTTAGAAATGTTTTTTTTGTGTTTGTTTTAGAAATATAGATGGATTACTTGTGAAGCCGAGCTCAAAAAAACTGCGGGGTTTTGTAAAGGGCTTTTAAATAGCATAGCAAGAAAGATAGCAAGAAAATAATATCAAAAATATTAGGCTCTAATCGACGATTACAGCTGTGAACACTTCGTGACAGGTTTTGAGAAGAAATCATGGTCAGGATCAATGATTAGTTTAAAGTTTTTGAAGTTTTTGAAGCTTTTGAAGCTTTTCAGAAACTTTCAAAAGCCATTTGTTGGCTATCCAATGAAAAAAAAATCGTATTTCATTTCGTAGCTTGAGATTTATTCAATTAGAAAATGAATTTGGGTGAAATGAATTACTCAACCAAATAGCAAGTAGCAGTACATTGTACATTGTGCAAGTACATTGTACAGTACTTGACAGTACTTGACAACTCTATGTGGAATAGAACAAATACAGAGTTGGGCAAAATTACCCGAACAAGAGTTCTTCGTCGTAACTTTGCAGCCAGCCAACTTAACCGTATCATTTCCTCCATAGTATAAATTTATTCATTCCTAACCCATTAACAGCCGTCACAACTTTAACAACTTTAAAAGAGGGATTAACACAAGATTTAACTGCTAGAGCACTTGGGATTGTCGCCAGATGACCGACTGGTTAAGAGTCTTGTCTCCTAGTCGGGGGGTTAAGGCTTCAATTCTGGCGGCTAGAAAAATTGGTTCTTTTTCCCGTTATTATGGTTTTTTTCTTAATAACATTTGGGCAATAGGGGTAATTAGGGAAAAAAATTTCCTCCATTTTGTTGTTTTCCATTATTGTTTCCATTATTCGTGTCGAATAAATATACTTTTATTGAAACATTACTGAAAAGAAAAACTCGTTGGCTGGCTTTTCTTTCGAGCCACAAAGCATCGAGCAAAATTGATCCAGAACAGAACAGGGGGTAGGCTAATTTCCGCCATTTTATTTGCGCAACAGGATCGTTTGCGCAACTCGCCATAACTTTCTCCTAAGTGGGCCAATCTTTAATGCTTTTGGTGTCATTTTGTTGCACTTATTGAGACCTACAAAATGACACCAAAAGCATTAAAGATTGGCTTACTTAGAAGAAAGTTATGGCGAGTTGCGCAAAAAATTTGGCGCAAATTAGCCGCCGCCCAATTATTGTGCTAAACAAGAAATTGCTTGTTTAAAAACGGGGAGAGATGATAAATTTCTAATCCCTAACTTCTCTGATAGAGGTTTGAACGCTCATTCCAAAGCTGATTTTAGTTTCACCAACGGAACCCTGTATCAACTAGTTCTTTTGCGCAACTCGCCAAAACTTTCTTCTAAGTGGACCAATCTTTAATGCTTTTGGTGTCATTTTGTTGCACTTATTGAGACCTACAAAATGACACCAAAAGCATTAAAGATTGGCTTACTTAGAAGAAAGTTATGGCGAGTTGCGCAAAAAATTTGGCGCAAAGTAGCCTACCCCATTTTATGTGGTCCTATCATTTCGCAAAAGGTGTTAAATAAAGAAAATCTTATAATTTTGTTGCAATTTATTCAGATAATGTTAAAAATGGTATAGATTCGTATTTTTGTATATGTTACTTCCGAATCTCAGGAGACGTCCATCTCCGATCCGGACGTCCGAATCTGAGGAGATTCATTCTCCTCTTTAATGCTTTTGGTGTCATTTTGTAGGTCTCAATAAGTGCAACAAAATGACACCAAAAGCATTAAAGATTGGCTTACTTAGAAGAAAGTTATGGCGAGTTGCGCAAATGACCCTGTTGCGCAAATGACCCAGTTGCGCTAATGACCCTGTTGTGGAAATAAAATGGCGGAAAGCCTACCCCCAGAGCAGAGCTTCATTTCCCGCTTTTCAGGCTTTTTTCGGTTTCTAAATAATTCGAGAAAAAGCATTAAGCATTAAGATTAGAAAAGTGTGACTACTTTTTTTTCGAGGATAATTAAGTCTATGTTTATACAGGAGTTTATGCAGGAGTTTATGTAGAAAAAGAATTAGAGGAGTTTTATGGAAAGGATTAACATTCAAATAACATTCAAACAAGTTTCTTGTCCGGGTAGAAACCCTGTAGAAAAGACGAAGATCTCATAACAGATTCAGCTAGTTGCCGATCGTAATAGCAAGCGATTGTAAGGCGTGCCGTTGATCGTATGTCTGAAGGGAGGAGAATGGATGGAATGGATGGAATGGAATAAGATGAATGAATGATAGGACCGGCTGAGGGAAAAGGGGAAAAGGGAAAGAGGGGAGAAGGGAAAAAGGGAAGAAGGGGATCCAATCGAATCACAAAAAACGAATAACAGAATCCTGAGCATACAAGTAAAAGAGGGGAATTGTAGGGAAAAGGAAAAGACAAGTTCTAACGGTGAAACATTCTAAAAAATTCTCTATTCGATTCGTTGCAGGGGGAATTCTCTATTCGTAAAACCATACAATAGTAATGATGAGATGAGTGCGATGAGTTTTTCTATCAAGAAAGTAAAAATTAAGATGAATGAGTTGAGAGATTAGATAGATTAGGAAATACATCTAACATTCAAACATCTAACAGCTCTAAACTCGAGATATGGAAATGGAATCAACTTATGGTTGGTTTTAATAGAATTCTCATTAAATTTGATTTTAGAAAAGTAGAATTTATTTTGTAGACTTACCGATAAAAACAGAGAAAACTAGTGTCAAAGTTGACCTTCTAAAGTAGAGGGGATACTAGTATACCCTATCAGAGTTTGGGGACTCTTCTATTTTCCTCCATAACTCGACTTCCAATTGACAGATCGACTCGGGGTTGGTTTCAAAAAGATCCTTATGACATTTGGTTATAGAAAACCACAATTTACTTAGTAT